AACACTGTAGTAGATTATACCCTGGAAAGCTTTAACAGGTCAGAATTCCAAAAATTGATATTAGTGTCTGAAAAGCCAAGTGTTTTGTTTCTCCTTCACTTTTTTACACATCCATAGTTCCTTGGGGTAAAACTGGAGTATTCACTCTAATGGGTCCAGTAGAGGGAGGTATTCTAAGCAGAGGGAAGGGCGTATGCAAAAACCCAGAGGGTTTTCATGGGGAGTCTGGGGCCTTTGAAGCAGTTAGTGTGGCTAGGGCACATCGGCCCCACAGAGAACTGAGCTGAAAGCCAGACCTGACCTAGTCTGCTCACCTTGAGTTTTAGCTCACAGGCTAAAATTAGAAAACAGAAACTGTGGAAGGATTTACAGCAGGGGAGTTACACAAATGCAGTCTATTTTAATTATTTTGTTAACAGATAATATATGGATACTTTTATATAAACTCAAATATTAAATCTAAGGTCAAAAACTCTCCTTCACCACTCCTTCCCATTCCCAGTTCCTCCTCAGAGATAGCCACTACACTGTTTGCTACATGTTTTTCTCAACATTTAAAAAAGTGCATTCACTTATGTATATGGACAAGCATAGAAATATATCCAGGATTATTTCGTGTGATTTAAAACAAATATCCTGTCAGATGACCAATTAAGAGGGACAGAGTTTGGGTTTGGGCAATTCTGAGAGCCAGCCAGCCATCTGTTTACTTTGTTTGGTGTTCATAGCATATTTTGTGAACATTCCAGTTTGTCAGTGAGATTCTCAGAGATGCGTGGAAGCTGTGGCAGACCCCAGCCCCATCGGGCAGACCCCAGCCACAACAGCTGAAAACCTTTACAGTCATATCCACCAGATATGCCACTGGGGACTGCCTGAGTCAAAAGTTTGCTGTCTGCATTTGTACATTACAGTTCAGCTGGAATGCACAGATATTGAATGTTCTTTGTTGGGATTAGGGAATGGACCATGTTCTCACCACGTGTTATGGAACAACTGAGGATACAAGCATGATCACTGGGTCCTCTTCCAAGGGAAACAATCAAAACATTTGTTACTTTTGGTTTGGTCTTTTACATGGTAGCAAAAATAGATATATAACAAAACATATCTACATAGTGATTTTTTTCATTATAGGAATCAAGTTAAAAATTATTACCACACCAATGGAACAAGGACTTCTAATATATACCCATAAATTAAGCCTCGTTACAGCTGTTACTAAAGTGAGGTCTATGGATGTGGGGTTTAAGGAGTTTTACAGTGGAATGCTCTGCAGACACACAGAAGAACAAAATCATGCCCTTTGCAGCAACATGGATGCATCTGGAGACCATCATTCCAAGTGAACTATCACAGAAACAAAAGACCAGATACTGCATTTTCTCACTCATAAGCAGTCCCTGATCACTGGACACACTAGCACAAAGGTGGGAACAACAGATACTGGTCACTGCTAACGGAGGGAGGAATGCAGGAGGGATACGGGGCACACAGCCACACACTGGGTACCAGGGTCTCTACAGGGGGGCACCAGAGGCCTTGCTAGAAGCCCAAACCGCACCTGAATCCAACTTATTTATATAGTAAATCCTCACATGTGCCCAATTCAAAAATAAAGTAACTTGAAAGCTGAGAAATGAACAAGCAGCTATTAAACTACACAAATATGAAACTTTAAAAAAAAAGGAATACAGTTTTAAGAACAGATGTGGATAGATTTATTTATTCCCTCATTAATACATTCAATAGACATTTTATTACCTGTTATTAATGTGCCAGATCATGTACTAAGGCACTGGTTGAATCACTCTGTTCATTTTGCTCTAGATTAAAGCTCCTGGCCCACTTGGAGAAATGTAATGATAACTAATGTAATGAGTGCCCATAATTAGTTTACATACAACCAGTGGTTTGCCAGTTATTCCATTCATTAAACTATTCCCATTTTTTAAGAAAAACTTAAATCTTCTGTGGAAACATGCTCTATACGCCTATGCGGTGTTTATAGTTAACGATCACAGCCTATAATCGCAGCATATTGGGAGGTTGAGACAGGCGAATCACCTGAGGTCAGAAGTTCGAGACCAGCCTAGGCAACAATAGCATGATCTCATCTCTACAAAAAATATATTTTTTAAAAATTATTGGGAGGCTGAGGTGAGTGGATTGCCTGAGCCCACGGGTTCGAGACCCGCCTGGGCAGCGAGAC